GGTGATGCTTGGGTACAAGCTTTCCTCTATCCTGCCCTCATGGGCTGTGCTGGGTCCCCCACTCCTCGCCTGTCCCAGGGGCCACCCAACCACCCCTCTCATCCAGGGTGCCACACCATTATCCCAGGTGCTGCTGTCCCCAGGGTGCCCATGCCTGGTGGGATACAGTGGTCCCCAAAGCTCTCAGCTCAGAGCAGGCTGCCACTGACCTGCACTGGTGATGGGAGGGACACCCCTGCACAAAGCTGCTGTCTTCTGGCACTCAGGCAGGCATGGGGGAAAAAGGGTGACCATGAAGCAGACTACGCTGGCCATAAGGATCTGGGGAGAGACACAATGGCACAGGGAGGCTGAACCTCCCCGAAAGGCAGCAGCTCACAGCCCACCATGTGAGGGGCTGCATTTGCCATGCCATCTTCAGCTAGGCTGCCAAAATCCACCCCACCCCCAAACCCAGGACACCAGGGCAGCAGAGCAGCACCTCTGGCAGGCAGGCACGGCACCCCATGGCTAAGGCAGAGGGCAGGCAGAGGGCTGCAGGGCGTCCCCACCAACCTTAGGGTGCAGGGAGCCTTTCCCTCCTGGATGCTGAGCTGGCAGGCGAGCAGTGCTCTGATCGCAGATGTGGCCGAGAAGGCTGTACAGGAGGCAGAGGACGGACACCCGCTGCTGGCCCTGCCCCAGGTACCTGCATGACAGCCTAGGGCAGAGGGACAGGCTGCTCCAGCCACACTCGGCGCTGGGCGATGCTGGATCTGAGCAGCCCCATGGGCAGTAACCCAGCACAGCGCAGCCAGCATCCAGAGTCCCCAGGACACGCAGCCCAGCTCCCCAGCAGAGCTTCTGTGCCCCGTGGCTGGCATCCCCAGCATGGCTGGCCCCAAGAGTCCCTGAGCAGGGAGTGCCACCACCGGCTGCTGGCACCATCCCACAGGTAGAGGACCCAGCACCACCCTCTCTGCCCACGGTGCAGCACCAGGCACTGCTGGGAAGACTCCAGGTGGGACTAGGGCTCCCTAAACTGGACAGGAGAGACCTGGAGGAGAAAGGCAGCTCCAGCTCCTGCTTTGCAGTGGGAGAGGTGCAGTTCAAGATGCAAGCACAAGACATTGTAGAAGGGGAGTTCAGCTTCAAGCCGTATTCCCAAACCATCTCTGCTGCTAATACCAGGACAGCACATACCAACATTAGTCAGGAAAACAAACTGCTTGCATTACAAAACCAAGCCCCCTAAAAGGCGAGGCAGACCACTGCGGTGCTGAAAGTGCTGTCGATCCCGAAGGACAGACTGGAGCTGGTTGCAGCCTGCACACTCCCTCTACGTGCACAGGGCAATGTAAGAAAACAGCACTCAGAAGCTGAAACTTGGCTTCTGCGGAAAGCAAGGGGAGCAGCAGAGAGGCCCATTCAGCAGGTGGCCAGGGTGAAGCACAACGGCTCCTTTGTGCAGGCTTCTGACAACGGAGCTGACCCCACGCTGCCTCACGCCTGCCAGCTGCTCGTGTGCGCTGTGCTGAGCTGTCAGCATGGCCCTCACAGCATTCCCCAGCAAGGGTAGGGCAGGGTGGGTGCAGTTCAGCAACAGACCAAGCCACCACGGGAAAGCATTAATTTAACCACCATCCTTGCCTATTACCTGATTTGCCCACTGCTGAATAGCAGCATAAAATATTAACAAGCCTTTACATCCACAACTCGTTTATGGTCCAGCAACGAGCACTCAGCATTCAGCAAACTTGAGCAAACGTTATTTGCTCGGTTGTATTTACATTATCCTCCATTCACTCACGCAAACACTGCAAGTGGTCGGGCAGGTCTCATTGCGAGCACCAAGTGGAGTTGTCCCAAGCCTCAGGCCCTGGGGACTGCTGTTACTCACTAGATTTGGAAGGGTCTACACCAGGACACAGCCTGCCCACCAAGGAGGCTCACAGAGACTTAAAACATCACTGACTGCATTCATTCAGTGTAATGACTGCATTCATTCAGTGTAATTACACTTTAGTTGTACAGGTGGCAGGGAAATTGTAACATCACTGAAGGCAAGAGAAGAACTTGAGAGTAAGGACTCCAAGGGAAGCAGGAGCCGAGGCGAGAGCTCTGCTGTCAGGGAACCTTCTGTGTATGCAGTGCAAATTGGCTACACAGGACAAGCAAAGGGTCACAAAACCAAAACCAGCTTGGTTCATGGCCCGAATCTGCTGTGGCTTTTCTTAGCAGTTGCTTCCATTTCTCCCTCCATGTTTAATGCCTGGAAAGTACAAAATTACAAGGCATCAATCCCTTTTTTAGTATCAGAGACCAGTGTCATCTGTTATTCTGCTTCACCACCTAAAAAAAACCAACAAACCACAATGTGTCTTTGTGAGCCTTTCCAGTCCTATCATTACGCCCTGTGCTGGTCTAGAAATGAAGAGCCCTCACCAAGAGCACAAACATCTTCTTAGCAGGGCAACCAAGGAGTAAATCTCACTCAAGTCTGACCCCAAGTAAGAACAGTCTTTTTAGGGTCAAATACTAACGTACCCATTAAAATCTGCTGTTATGACACTTCTGTGACAAGGTCAGTGCCTAACAGGTCAGTGAGATACAGCACAACAGCATATAGGAAGTGAAATCTCAAGTATATTTAAGGACAAATTAGCACCAGATTTTTGTCCAGTCACTCAGAGCTTATGTTCTAAAATACCAATGGGAAGTCACACAGAAAACCAACTGATACCTGCTCAGTGTGAAGGACATAAAAGCAACGTTTTGCTTGCACTGTGTGCCGTGCTCTGCTCTGCCTTAAGCTGGGACAAAGAGAGTGGTTTCAGTACCAGATTCTACAGAATAGGGCTGGTAGAGCAGAGAAGGGAGAGGGCAAGAAAGATCCTCTTACCTCATTTTTCAACACACTAAATTGTTCTGTCAAAACACCACAAGCTTTAAAAAACAAAACAAAACAAAAAAAATGAGCAATAGTGTTTCAAAGTGTAACAAACATCACTCATTGAGATTCAGCTGTTTAAAGATTTAGTCAGTTTTACAAGGCTTGCTTTGATCCCAACAGCAATAAAATACATCCTTTATGGAAGGAAAAAACATTCCCACATGGCTCCATCTGCTCCCATTGAAAGGATGTTTCAGCAGCTGTCAAATGTCTCGGCTGGCTGCCAGATAACACGAAGGGCCAGGTCCCTTTTGTTCTCAGAAGGGATGAGCTCCAACTACCAGAGCCCACCCTCATCCCTGGCCCAGGCCAATCCATAGCACGGAGCTCCTTGGTGAGCTAGCAGTGCCCACTTATCCTTTTATTTCCCCCCTCAGTTCAGGCCTGCAGGACAGTGTGGTCCTTGCACTGGACCTGCCAGAGAGCCATGCCACAGCTAAGCCTCCAGGTGCTTAGTGATCCTGCGAATTTTCTCCTTCTTGTTCCTGTTTCCATGTTTTTTCCAGGGCTTTCCTACCACATTCCCAGGACTGGGTGTAGTCACAGGCACGAGGCCACTGCCGGGCCGGTATCCCATCGCAGCCCGGACCCCTTTCATCAGGGCACGAACGTTCTCCTGGAAGAGGAAACGCAATCACCAGTGAATTATAAAGATATTTTACCACAAGGAATCATGACACATTAATAAAAGCAGACACAGGCAAGCTCAAACCCATCAAGGAACACAGGAGGTTCCACTTCCATTTGAGAAGAAACTTCTTCTCAGTGAGGGTGACAGAGCACTGGCCCAGGCTGCCCAGAGAGGTTGTGGAGTCTCCTTCTCTGCAGACATTCAAAACCCGCCTGGACGCCTTCCTGTGTAACCTCATCTGGGTGTTCCTGCTCCGGCAGGGGGATTGGACTGGGTGAGCTTTTGAGGTCCCTTCCAATCCCTAACGCTCTGGGATTCTGTGAAGACCTGCTCAGACCCAGCTCTAGAGCTGCAGGAAAGGTCACACCAAAGCCTGCCAGCACGCTCCAGTGCTGCCTGCAGCCATGCCTTGCTGCGCCAGGTCCTCAGCACCTACCACTGCAAGCAGAGGCGGTACGCTGACGAGACACCAAGCTCCGACAGGTATTAGCCATGGTGCTAGGGTTGATTCTCACAGTCTCTGCTTTGCACACAACAGATTGTCTTTTCAAATAAATCTGCTGTCTGTGAAAAGCCAGAGACTTAAATAACTTGCTCGAGTCTGGAGCGTGGGTAGCACTGCTGGGGCTCGCAGCTTGTGCCAGTGCTTCGGGCAGCCAGAGGAAGAGTCTGGTAATCTCAAAGATTCCTTTCAGGTCATAGCTTTCTGAAATAGCTCACTTTTTTGAAAAGTGCCCGAGTTCTTGTTTTCAAAATGCATGACTGTATTTATCTGTGCTGAAACAAACACTGTTCACATCCAGCTGACCAAGCAGAACAGATCACGCTGTGACCTGTCCACTTCACAGCTAAACACCCTTCATTACAAGTCGTTAATAATTTTTTTCCAGTGTTGTAAGAGCAAAACAGATCTCTGTGGGACCTAACAAGAAGCACACAAGTTAAGACATATTCCTATTTTCCATTTAAATTTGAGATTTGTTAGACTTTTAATCTGTTTCTGTGGGTTTTTTAATCCGATTTCAGGTTCTGAGTCAAACAACCATGTAGTACTAAATCAACTGTCATTAAGAAGCTTATCATGACCCCTTAATATGTCATCTCAAGACAGCAAAGTTAGTTTGAAGGACCTGTTAGTCCAAAACCATGTTTCTGGTTGGTTGCTGTCACACCACCCTCCCTCCTTGTCTCTCTGCCCAGTTGCTCTCCTGTTTGCTCAAGATTGATGTTAGGCCCACAGCAATGAGGGTCACCTCACCGACTTTCTAAAAGTCACCTACGTGCACATCATTAGCTACCTTTCAGTCACCTAGGACATTCCCCCAGTGATTTAGGGGACAATAAAAAGAGCAGAGCACACTTGGATAGAAATTACACGCAGATGCCAGTGGCACCCAAACACCATTCACACACACACAGAATCGCTCGGTTGGAAAAGATCTCTGAGATCATTATGTCCACCCGTTCCTGTCTACCCCCTAAACCATATCCTTAAGTACCTCATCTACCCGCTCTTTAAACACATCCAGGGATGGTGACTCCACCACCTCCCTGGGCAGCCTGTTCCAGCTTCTGACGACCCTCTCAGTAAAGAACTTCCTCCTTATCTCTAACCTGAGCCTCCCTTGGCACAGCTAACAACTCAGCACCTCTCCATTCTCAAGGCTGTTTTTTCCCAGTCACTGTGACACACCAGTGCTGCTGTGAAAACTCCTAGAAAAAATCTCCAGAATTTACCTGGTGGAAAAATGTTTTGTCTACCACATTTTCAATTTGTTTCGCTTTGGTATTCTTCTCAGGCTTCACCTGTCCGCTGGCCTGCACAATTCTGCTCTCTGGGCATCTTTGATGCTGGTGCTGAAAGTCATTTGGGTCAATGCCAGGAGGTGGATGGCAATATAACAGCTTCCCCTGTAAAGCAATGGGATACAGTCATTACCAAAAAACAAACCCAACCAAACCAAACCTTTGGAAAAAAACCAACCAACAACCCACAACAAAACAACACACAAAAGACTCAGAGAGACACCCAGAGGGGGAAGAAAACAACTCCCAAGCTAAGAGCAGCCCTGGAAGTCCAGGGGCTCACTGGGGCAGACTATGAGTACATTTGATTTCTCCTCCTAGGCAACAACTGGCTTGACTTCTAAGTTAAAGCACCATTTTACCTCTACTTCAAAGCACCATTTCCAGCTGCAAACAATACAGTGCAAAACTCTCAGGAGTACTGGAGGGATCCTATTAAGAAATACTCAACAAAAAGTTGCTGAGAGGTGCTGTAGAAGCATTCTGTATTACAACACACAGATCTACAGTCCTTAGTGCCAAGTTATAGTGTCCAACTACGCAAGACGGGTTCATTTCCTGAATATGTGATGCCTATTTTAGAGGTATGATAGCTTATTTAGCTAGCACTTCATTTTTAAGCAATCATCTTTTTAAGAGTAAGCAGCTTGAGAAATTCAATTTATTATTTTAAAAACATAAAACTAGCCTGCTTTAAAAACTATTGTAATATATGGAGATTTTATCCAGAGAAACAGAATTCACTTTCTTGTGCTCCTTCATGCTCCAGTCAAACCTTTACCTCCTAGCAGGAAGACCCAGAAATAAGAACTTACACTGACATAGTCTTTTAACACGTATCGAGCTGACCTCGGCTGGTCTGGCTGTCCATGCGCTGTCATAAAGCCTCTCATACCTGGAAGACAAATCCAAAGTACGTTTTGTGTCAGGACAAGAGAATTAACACGTTCTTCACTGCTGCTTAACTGCATATTTGTATCCTTTCTCAAAAAACTCTCTTAGAAAGAGACTTCTCCTGGGGAAAGCAGGGGAAAAAGGGAACCTTGCTGACTGCAGAAGCATCCTAACCTGAAAGGAATGATGAGAGCTGACATCTTCCTGGATTTTTATATTTGTTTTAAGGTCATAGAAGATTAACTGCATCAGAGTATCAGGTAAGGGAGATAAACCTTCACTGCATTCTTCAAAGTCTAATTCAAGACACAGCTGATGGCAGGTATTTAAAAGGATGAGAGCACCACACTACACAGACTGGCAGGACATTTCATCCTCAACACAACCACTACATCTGTCAGGCAGATTGGCAAAGCACCACTGCAACACACGAGATCAGCTGGTACCAAAGGTCCTTTCCCGAGAGGAGTGCAAGTCCTAGTGGGGAGGTTCAAAGCATAATAAACCTGAGTCGGGCCTAACTTTAAGAAGTTCTCCTAAGGCCACGTTCAGGACCATGCACACGGCAGAGGTGATAGGTTTTAAAGGGATCATCACTCACATCCGTATGCTGTGAGCAGCTCTTCAGCTGTTGGCTTTCGATCCGGATCCTCATCTTCCCTTGGCCTTATGATATTTATTCCATAGGTTGCTTCCAATATGTTTCGTGGGATATGCTGGCAAACATAAGCTAGTGAAGGAAACCGCCTGGTGATTTTCAGACACACAGGTAATCTTGCCCAAGAGCACACATTAAGAATGACTTTTGGATTTTGTCACAAACCAGAAAAACAATCCAAGTCTGACCAGAAAATAAACTTGAATGAAGGTGGGGAAAGACCAACACAGCAGGGCTGTTTTATCCAGTGAGAGTCCCCCCCACCCTCAGCACATGAGCACGCACGTCCCTAGCAGGGCAGGAACATGCCACATTGCATGCTCCACATCCAACACTCTCACAAACCCCATGCAAAGGATATTAGAGAAATGGGTGGGACATGGTCCCTCATCTGGTCTATAGGCAAAATTCCAGAACAAATCATTTCTGCCTTGGTAGAGATGAAAGATGGCATAACCAGACCGGGGCAATCACAAAGGCACAGGCCAGGCTCCACATACAGGGTCTACACAACAAATAAATGATTAGTTCACCAAGGCAAATCAGGAGGTAAAAGGAACAAAAAAACCCAAAAACACACTCAAATGCATAGATGAAACATGGATGCAAATGAGAACAAGCAGAAATTCAACTAACATAGACATCTGCCCTGCTGTCCCAGCCAATGAATTAAGGAAATCTGATGTGGAAGACAGCAACACTTCCAAAGCCTATAAGGTGTCCAGATCGGGGCAGCAAGATCTTCAGCTCTCCAATATGATCGGGGGAGAAGCAAGCACTCCAGAAACCTTTAACTGTGTTGGAAACTGTGAAACAGGCAGGAGATGACACAAGTACAAATCCCACAGTGCTCCTTATGGCACTGGAGTTGCTATGTCAAAATCAAGAGCTTGACCAATATGAAAACGGCAGCCTAACCAGACTTACAGCCATGACTGTGGACAAGTAGGACTGTTGGAAAGCTTGATCTTTAGCTATTCAGAGGAGCACTCATTTTTCAGAGGTTCTCTCCTCACGACTGGTGTTGAAAAAAGAAGGGCCAAGCTACCCAAAGTATCTCCCATTGCACAGCAGCCCTCATGAGTGACTCTCAAACTGTACCAAGAGTTTGAATGCAAGAACTGAAGTTCCAAAATCATATACGTCAAGCCCACTCCTCTCCAATCTGCTCTGCTGGGCAGAGTTCAAGTTGGTAGAGTTCTCAGTGAGTCCACATGGCTGCAACGAGTTCACAATGAGACTCTCTTCCACTGGGGAAAAAGAAATAGAAAGATCAATGCTCTTTGTCAGCAATACCTGGAAGTGTTTGGTACGGCCTGGTGTAGCAGACACTGACACCTTCTTATTTCCAAGGATTGTGTTGATGGTTGAACTTTTGCCAACATTAGGGTAACCCACCTAGACGATAAAGAAGTGGAATGGTAACAGTGGTATCAGGAAGGGCAGTGCCAGAAGACCGGCAGAGCTCTGACAAAGAAGTACTTTAATAATTAACCTTTGCCAAAACTGTCGGTGATTTATGCTTGCTAGCTTTTTACTCTTGCAGGAAGCCAAGCTACAGGATGAATTTATCCCACAGAAGGCATATGGAATTAAACTTCAGATTAATTAAGTTCCAGTTAAGCACCAAGTCCAACTCACCAGCCCAACATTTACTTCCCCATTCTTCACCCTTGGTCCATTGTGCATGGTTTTGAATATCTCCAGCAACTCATTTCTCTGTACCAGATGACTGAAGCTCCTGATGTTCCTGTTCTGCTCCTGCACCACGTGCTGCACTGCAGCAGCACCATCAGTCCTGCTTTCCATCCTCTCTGGGACAATAGCATGTATTCTGTTCCCACCTTCATCTTCAGAACAGGTTTGCCAGGCCTCCTCTTCATCATCTTCACAGTCTTCATATTCATCACTACTGTCATCATCACTAGCCAGAGCTTGGTTTACAGTTTGCAAAGCACCGCCTGTGCACGTGCCTTCTGCACCCTCTTGTTCTGTGTTGTCTTCCTCTGGACTGGTGCTTTCATCGTCGGCATCACTCAGGTCCTCTGCTACATCATCAGGGTCCAGTTCCTGTGTGAAGAGTATTTCACAGGTGAAATGTAAAGACAACACTAACTCTTGCTGTGGGCTGCAGTCGCTGCAGTGCAGTCACCTATCTTTTCATCAGCCAGATCCCACAGACTGGCAATTCACTCCTGACAATGTCACAAAGGTTTTTTTTTATGGTTTCTGTAGAAAAAACAAGCCCATTTTAGGAGAATGACAAAAGTATTCCAAGAGGGACTGCTAGCTTCACTGTGAAGTTGTTAGAGGTTTCTCTCTAGAAGCACAACTGTGAATGTGCACACACTGACAGCATCCTTACACAGAGCAGCAGCAGAGCCCAGCAGATTTTTTTTTAATTAAGTGTTCCTAGTAATAGGAATGAATTTATTTTTTTCAAAATGCTCAGAACACAAAACCACCTTGTTTCAGGTCTAAAGATCCCATGATAATGATTTCAAGCTGACTCATTTTCAGTCTCAAGTCTTTACATTTCTTCTCTGCAAAGCAGTTCCCATTTAAAAAGAAAGACCTTTTCATAACAGTTCCATCTTGAACTCTTTAAAAACATTTTGTTCAAGAACTGTGAGCCAGCTGAACAGATTACGTATTTTTGAAAAGAGATATTCCATAGCTAAATAGCGATGGTTGTAACAGATGAACCCAGTAAAATCTGGAAGTGGCATTTACTGATAACACAAAACTTTAGGCAGCAGCACAGTTTATTCCACTGGGCAGAGTGGGAGAGAAAAATCCTCTGTACAGATAACCTTGGTTCTCACAGCATCCCTCTTGAAAAGGATTCAAATTCTTTCAATGAGTTGAGAGTTTGCAAACAGATCTACAAAGGCTGTTCCTGTTGCTACTCATCAGCCTCAAGGAACAAATTTAAATTCTAGTTCACTATTATTTATCAAGTCATTAACCTTGAAAGAGAAATTGCAAGCACTACAAACAGCGAGAGAAGGGTGTACCACTTGTACCCTTCCACTCTCTCACTTTTGTGTCATCAATCAATCATTAAATTTTACAGCTGCTTTACAGGTCCTTAGAATGGTACTTCCCTGAGACAAGGACTGTGCCCTTCCTAGAAGGGTGCTCAGGTATATCACGAACATAACAGCAAAACGAGTTACCAGAGGCAGCCAGCACAAACCCAGTCGGAACTGGTCACCTACAGTACCTTTGCTTCTCCAGACAGCCGCTTGCACTCTGCCAAAGCTGACCAGAACACCACCTTAATGCCCTCTTTCTCAAAGAACCGTGCCCAAGCAGCCCGCTGCTCCTCACTCAGCAAATCTGCTTTGTTTATCAGGATCATGTTCTCCTTGTGATTGCTGACTTCCTTGACGTAACTTTCCTGAAGAAAGCGAGAGAAGGATCAGTTTGTACTCTGGTTTAGACGACTCCTCCCTCCAAGGTGATACAAGAGCAGGAAGCCAAGTTACCCCATCCAGTTTCATATGAATGTAGCTAAGCTTAGCGTCCCCTGGGCTAGATGGAGGTGCTTAGCAGATAGCTCCAAGAACAAACTGGAGCATGCAACTGCCACAAGTTCAAACACCTTGTCTGCTTAGAGCTACCAGATATGAACCAGCACCTCACAGCAGGACTTCCCAAGATCAACTATTGGAGCAATGTTGTACCTCACTGATGCACAGTGCTGTATAGTCTATTATTACAAAGTTGTCACTTTAATAATTCTTGATCCTTCATTTTCAGTGCAGTACTCCTCACTCATTTTTATTCCACTGTGCTTTTAAACAGAGCACTTCCTTTAACTACAGACACTTCTAATGGGTACTGATGAGCAACACAGTATCTGCTACGTAACACCTGCAGAAATGCTTCTAAATCTACGACACCACATGAAGTATCAACAAACGTTGAAGAAAAATAATTTGATGTCAGAATACTTGTATAAATAAATAAGATATCCACTTAGGCACAACAGCAGAACAGCTTCAAGGTGGCTGAACGTGTTAAACAAAAATTAAATCATCTAAACTCTAAGAAATAAAATTAAGAGAATATTCGAGGAAGTGCTTTACTTACCAGATCTTGGCATCTAAACAGAAGGGGGTTTCTAGCATCTACTATCTGGACTACAATATCACTGCAAAAACAAAAGAAAGCTCCATAAAGTACTTTTTCTTACCTTGCCTCAAAGCAAGCAGCAAGGCACAGCGCATTACTCGCCTTTAGGTTTTGCCTGGAATGTTGATGGTTTTAACTGCGTTATCCTACTAAGTGCCTTTGCTGAATTAACAAAGCATCTCAGCATCACACATGGCCCAGGAGAGCCATGCTTGTGCTACAAGCCAGTACTGCTGTACAGTATTTCTGCCTCACTTGGCTAATCGTCCTGTGCAGCCAGCAAGAGGAAAGGAAGTATCCAAGTTTTGCCAATCCATCTTCCTTCAGAAATGCTCAGCAGGCAAGCACCAGCGTAGTGGTATTGTATCCTTTAGAATGTTACTAAAAACTACTAAAAACAGTGACAACGTTACTTTATTTCTGGCTATTCTCATCCCCAAATTGTGTCAGAGTGGCTACAGAGGGAGAAGACGTGGTTTTCTCTGGAGACATTCAAAACCCGCCTGGATGCCTTCCTGTGTAACCTCATCTAGGCGTTCCTGCTCCGGCAGGGGGATTGGACTAGATGATCTTTTGAGGTCCCTTCCAATCCCTAACGTTCTGTGATTCTGTGTGATTCTGTTTTCCTACATGGTGAGGTATTCTGGAACACTGGGACAGTGCAAGCATTTGCTGTGAGGCATCTTCAAAATTTATTTTGTGCTCTTCTTGTCATAAAAGTACAGAACAGTGAAAGAATTGGACTCCAGTAAAACATGTTGCTCCTCCACACAAGCAAAGCCTTACATGTATGCTTTTAGGAAACGTCTCCCAAACCCAGACACCAGAGCAAGACTCATACACTGTACACACAAATGAAGCGTGCTGGCTTCAGATACCAGATGCATCCATGTTTCTTTTTTCAAATGGAGGGAGAAAATTTAACTACAACCTCTTCCTCTAGTGCTTCTCCAGGCAGGTAATTTGGCAGGAGTGGAGCATCTCCCTTCTGAGGAGCGGCTGAGGGAGCTGGGGCTCTTTAGTTTGCAGAAGAGGAGACTGAGGGGAGACCTCATTCATGGTTATAAATATTTAAAGGGTGAGTGTCACGAGGATGGAGCCAGGCTCTTCTCGGTGACAAACAACGATAGGACAAGGGGTAACGGACACAAGCTGGAACACAGGAGGTTCCACTTCAATTTGAGAAGAAACTTCTTCTCAGTGAGGGTGACAGAGCACTGGCCCAGGCTGCCCAGAGAGGTTGTGGAGTCTCCTTCTCTGCAGACATTCAAAACCCGCCTGGACGCCTTCCTGTGTAACCTCATCTGGGTGTTCCTGCTCCAGCAGGGGGATTGGACTGGATGAGCTTTTGAGGTCCCTTCTAATCCCTAATGTTCTGGGATTCTGTGTAATTTAAAAAACCGGTTACCACATGCTGACTCTATTTGTTTGACGGGGATTTCTGTTAACTCAGGACAGCTTCGGAACACCACAGGTTGAATGAAGAATTTCAAGCCTCACTAGGCAGTTGGCTACATATGAAAAAAAAAAAAAATCAATAAAACCCCCAAGGGAGTAATTTAATAAGCTGCATGGATATAAAGAGGTACTGAACAGTTACAGAAACTCCAAGATCAGTATGAGAGAAAGCTGACACCATGGTAATGGGACAGGATACAGAGAAGTTACTAAATCACACTGCTGGGAGCTAGTTTGAAGCAAACAAAAGAAAAAAGGCTGACAACAGATCAAATTATCTGGCAAGGTGATGGCCTGGACGACTTTCCTGTTTGATTCTGAGACAGCATCCTCACTTTACATGAAATAAAAAGCTCCAAAAAGAGCAGAGAGGCATTAACAACACATTCCAGTCACCTCAAAACACACAATACACTCACACTGCGCATCAGGATACCCTGTAGTGGATACTCCAGATCCAGCTCTCTCCCAGCCAAAGGCCTAGCAGAGCCCAGTACAAAGCCACTTCTGTGGAAGGACAAGCTCACCATGACCTCACTGGTGAAGTATTTTTCAATTTTAGGAAAATGAGAAGAGATGATCTCAAACTTAATTACTAGTGAAATTAAATGCCCCAGTTAGATTAACATAGCAGATAGCGCTCCTATTGTATTACAGCTCAGCAGAGCAAACAAAGCTATTTCTGTGATATGACAGGCTGTTGTCTTCTGTGCACTGCTGCAATTTCTCTGCATGGCAAGAGGCCAAGGACCAACAGGCTCGCTCTTTCTTAATGTTACTTAGTTGATCTCCCTTGCCTCCTGACCCTGAACATCGGGCTGCAGCTGTGTGGTAGAGAAAGAGGTGAAAGGGTTAATCTTGGCGAAGGACCTCAAAGAGTCATTCTCCAAAGAGGCCTCCCACAGAGAGTTACTGGAAGGGGCCAAGAGCAGCAGCATCTGAAGAATCATCGGAGACTCGCGGAGAACCACCTGCAGAATCACAGTACTAAGAGCTGGCGTGCACCACTGAGCAGCTGCCTTTCTTCACAGCACATTTTGATCACTTCAAAACAAAATCACTTCAGTGCTGATAACAAAACACTGCTAACTGCAACTGTTTCTCCTGTGCGTGGACACCTGAAGCTTGACTCAAAAGCTTCAATTCAGGAAAACACATGAAACGCTCCTGTGAAAATCAGATAGTGGTATGCTTTACCTTCTTTCAATGACTCTCCAAAGCTGACGCCAAAATTCCAAGTTTCGCTCAAACGGCGTTAGAATTAGCTTTTTTTCTTCCTCAAGGCTAAGGCAAAACAGAAAAAAAAGAAATCGTATTGGTCCCACTTGAGGCAATAAGCACACCACAAGTTCTTCCTTAGATGCAGGAGATTTTAGTTTCAAAGAGAGCTATCAAGTCAGATGCATTAGTAGGTACTATTTCTGCAAATAGATCAAGCACCTGGGTAAACTGGTGTCAGTGGCACTGGTTCAGTGGGGACACAATGGCTCCTAATCACACTGATGGAGAGGTGGTAAATGACAGCAAGAGCAAAAACTCATCAGAAGTCTGCTCATGAAACTTCAGAACCATGATAACAAATGAGAGAAGCTATCCCAAATGCCAGCAGTTATTACTCAATCAAGTACCAACTGGAAAAAATAACAAATCTGCGGATGGTACCTGAAATAGCTCTATGAAACCGTCACCTGAATGACTCAGGGCAAGCATGGGTGCACAGGGTGCAAGTAGATACCACCTAACGCTCCAGGCCAGCAGATACAGCACCAGACCAGCACAAGCTGGTGTATGCAGGCTGGCAACACAGCACTCTATTCGGAGCAGCACTATCACTCTTAGGAGACACACACCCCCCACTCCTCCACTTCACTGTGGCTGGCCTGTTCAGCCTTCCAAAATGATTATAGGGAGCTACTGACAAGATGTTAATGTTATAGGCCCAGCAAGGATAAATACAACCCACTGCTTCCTGCATCTCCAGATCCCACCAGCTCCTTACCCAGACAAAAGTAGCATACTCACTGGGCAAGCTGCCGCCGCCACTCAAGAAAGCTCTCCCTCTCAGCTTGCTTCAAGTCCTCTGCACTGGTTGTCCTATCCCAGCGTGGCCTGTAACAAGCACAATTTGGAGTGAGCGGTCTGAAGTAACAGTTAGACCAGTTACATTACTGCAATAAACATCCACGAAGAACACAGGCACCACAGACTCAGCTACACTGAGATGGTTACAATTCAGATGTGCGTCTACCTGTTTCCAGCAGCTTTAAGCACGCCTTTTTTCCTTGTTCCTTCTAAACTCTGCTAGTTGAGAGGACAGTATCGCATCACTAGATCGAGACACTAGATCTCACAAAGTCGTCTTCTCAAGATTTGTAGAGCATTTAGGATAGTGGATTCACCTCTCTGTCCACTATGCACAGAGCTCTGGAAAGGCTTACTAGGCAGCCTGGATGCAGACAGCAGCACCTGTGCAGGTTACATCAGGCTCATGCAAGCCAGGCTGCGGCTTCCCCAAAAAGTGGGTACTGGCAAAGCACAGTGCTGTCCCCAGGCTTGCAGCCACCAAGGGGCTGAGCCCGCTCTGCAGAGAGGATCCAGGTGCAGCCCTGCAGGACTCACCTCCGTGGGATGCGCAGGAACTGCTGGTTCTCCTCATGCAGCTGCCGGACACGCTGGGCCTCCTGGGCTGTCAGCAGGCCAGTGCGGCTCTGGCCGGTCACGATCTGGATGTTCAGACGCTCTGCAGGAAGGGAGAGGTGGTCACCCAAACCCAGGTGTCTCCATCCCTGCCTGTCACCAGCCCTGCTGGCCTCTGCCGCC